GGGAAATGAGTCATGAGGCGAGCAGAGGGCCCTGGGATGGGAAGTCAGCCTTGAGTCTTGCTTTGTCGCTTCCCTGGGCCGGAGAGCGGTCCCCGGGTTTAGTGGGTTGGTATCCACTCTGACGTTTTTCTGGGATAAGCCGGTTTGCTGTGGAGGCCTGGTGGGGACATGCATCTCCCCGGATTTCCCTCTAATTTTTTTGGGGAATTCCCTTTTGTTTATCCCAATCCTTGCTCATCTCGGGTGTAAGTGTCATCTGGGTGTTTGCAGGTTCACTTGTTCCCAAAGCCTGCCCCTCATTCTTTTTGCAGAAAACAGTTAACCACAGTAATGAGCTTAATAAAAATGGCAGCAGTGGGTAACTTGACCTGAGCCTCTCTGTGCTCTGGTCACCTCTTGTGACTTGCCCTGGCATCTGCTTGGGGGCCATGTTCCTCACTGTTTTACAAAGGAAGGGGGATGTCCCTTGAGGGCAGATGCCCCCATGGACACCAGCCATTCTGGGGTGCTCTGCGCCCCTAAAAACAGAAGATACCCCCCAGCACTTCTGACTTGCAGGTCCCCCATGAGGGTGAGGGTGTGGCTTGGCCCTCGGAGCCACCCTGTCCTGCCGAGGGTGTGCATGCCCCCCCTTGCCACTCTGCTGGCTCAAGACCTCTCCTTCCTCAGAGCCTGGCCCAGGTTCCCCACCGCCTGGAGCACCCTTCTGGACACTCAGGGCTGTCAGTGTCATCCTGGGAGCCCTTCTTGGTTCTCTCCTTCTGGGCCTCTTGGCCTTTGTGATTCTACCTTGAGTCGCACAAGTCATGCAGAGGGGTAAGCAGGAGCCCACCCTGACCCCATCAGCTGGTGTGCAAGAGCAAGAGGAGCTCACAGCTCCAACCTGGTGCTGGGGTCTGGGCAGGCGGGGTGCTCTGCAGTGCTCAGGCCTATGCAGACCTGTCCTCAAAGTCCAAGGAACTGAGAAGCTGAAGAAAGAGGCAGACAAATCCAGTTTCTTAGAAAGAAATGCTTAAAAGGGACTTACAAAGACAAGCCACGTCCATGCCTTGGATGGCTTCTAGCTGAGACGGTGGATGCCCAGGCTGTCATCCCCCAGAACTGGAACTTACGTACCCTAGGGGAAGGGGACGGGTAGAACAATTGCTTAAGGGCAGGATTTACAGTAAGTGCATGCTCTTACCAAGAAACAGTAGATAAAATGGAAATCTTAGAGGCATTCCCAGAACTGGAGTTGATCAGAAGTCAACATGGTGGATCAGCATCCAAGGCAGAGTTGCTTCAGCCTTGAGGCAGGTCTCACTTAGGGCTCCTTTTATAGGCCAGAGAGCATGGCAGACATGTGCGTCAGCCTCCAGCCCTCAAGACCCCAGAAGGTCCCCCTCAGACAGCACATTGGGGCCCATTGGGAAGCATCATGTGGTTTACTGGCCAGGGATGGGAGGGCTCTGGGGATCTGGCCTTGTGGCCATGGTCCCTCCCATCCCAGCCCACACTGAGGGCCTGCATGTGACCACGCTCACCTTGCCTCAGGTCTGGGAAGATCCAAGGTATCTCCTGGAGAAGCCATCTATGATGTCATTGGGGAAATACCGCTAGCAGGACTGTATGAGGAAATCGTGGAGGCTGAGGCCGTGCCCCAAGGTGAGGAGGGTGGGGGTGTGGTAAAGGTGGGTGCAGAAGCCACAGGTGGATTTGTGCCCCAGCTCAGGGGCGAGCTCTGGGGTGGGCTGTGGATGCTGACCACAAGATGCAATGAGAGGGGACTCTGACCCTAGGACCTTGGCCTCAGAAGGCTGCTGACCGCAGGGCTCATGGATGCAAGGGTACCCATGGGCAGGGGAGAGCAGGGCCACACCAATGAGGGCAGAGTCAGTGGCTGCAGTCCCCATCGGAGAGGCCTGCCCCGTGGTGGGAGAAGAGGGCCGGGAGGTGTGCTGGGAGCCGTGGGTCTGGCAGGGGCATAGTCCAAGCCCTCTGGACATGTGCAGCTAACTCGGCCTGTTTCCTCACCTGTGGGAACAGTGCTGCTGTCACAGGATGCTTGAGGTGCCTCGAGTGTCGTTAGGCGCTTTCTGGCTGACATGTTTATTTCCAGCTTGTTAGGCGCTTTCTGGCTGACATGTTTATTTCCAGCTTGCCAGATGTGCTTTGGGGACAACTTGCACGTGTGCTGATTTGGTCATGCGGTGTTTCTTGCGCCAGTTTCAGGGGAGGCGTCTAACCTCCTGGAGGAACAGTCCACACGTGAGGAGGGAGGAGGCCACAGACCTCTTTCAGGGATATGACGAGGCTGTCTTTCCACTGGAGGAGATGACACCGTGAAGCACCCTGAGGATGAGACACACCAGCTGGTCGTCAAAATCACATTTCTTCATCTTCTTCTACAATTGTAGTGGATTTCACAAGAGCATCATGGATGCCTTTCTCTTGCAGTGTCCCCCACATCCGTATAAAATCCCATCCTTCCAGACCCTGCTTGGCTCTAGCCCCCTGTCCCATTCGAGGTCCATCTGCTACAGACAGTCGTGCTGTGTAGCCTTCAGATATCCCACGCATTACAGCAAATGCAAATGTGTATAGAAATCAGTGGTCATGTTCGTGGTTTAGAGCTACGTGGTGCCGTCTTCATCTTCTGCTCCACAGCTCGCTCTTGCTACCCAGAGGTGCACTGGAGAGCTCCCATGCCAGAACCTTCCTCTTTCTTGTTAAAAACTCTTCTTAATAGAATCCAAAGTATCTTTTAGATGTTCTGCTTGTGTAATCATGCCATTGGTGGATATTCAGATTTGTCCTCGCCCTCCAATCTGTGACCCTTTAATCTCTCTTTCTGTGCCTTATTTCATGGGCTGTGACCCTTCAGTCCAGTGATGAACAGAGGTGGCCAGTGGAGGCCTTGTCTCATTCATGGACTCAAAGCAAATGTGCTCCACCTTTCATTTCACTATTAAATATAATATTTGATGCTTGCTTTTGTAGATGTTATTTATCAGATCAAGGAAAACCCAGTCTATCCTTAGTTGTTAAAGGTTTTACTTTTTATCATAAGTGTTGACTTTTATCAAATTCTTTTTTGTATCTATTAAGATGATATATGACCGATTTTTATATGTTAAATTAACCTTGGGTTAAACAAATCTAACTTTATCATGATATATTATTATTCTTATATTTCACAGGAATTAGTTTGGTAATATGTTGGGTCAATGTTTAAAAAACAAATTGATGTGTAATTTTTTTCTTTTGTAATATTTTTGTTTAATTTTTGGTATGAAGATTATTCAGGTCTCATAAGAGTTAGAACATATTCTCTCTTTTAAAAAATATTTGCTG